CCTACCGCTAGATGGTAAGCCGGGGTGTATCAATTTTGTGTAAATTAGCGTCCTTAAATTTCGAAATATTGAAGTTTCAAGCATTTCTGAAATTTAACGTTATATGAAAAGCGGCCTCAATTTTAGTCCGATTTCAATAATTTTCAACGCTTCGCTTTTATGTCGCAAGCACAATAACCATACCGAATTTGGTACAAATTGGTATAACGGTTACCGATATACATATATGTGATCATAAGTGGGCGGTGCCACGCCCATTTTCCAAAACTTTTCCATAAACGTATTCCTTGGTAAAGAATTGTTGCAAGCATCAATTTTGAATAACTTAGCTTTAATATTTACTGATTTATCGAAGATTTCGTATTTCTCTAAATTACCGTTATATGGGATGTGGGCGTGTTTATTGTCAGATTTTTTAAATTTTCGGCCATTTAGTATGCTGTACCACAACCAACAACTGTGCCAAGTTTGGAAGAAATTGGTGGAGCGGTTACCAAGATATACACATGTAACCATCAGTAGGCGTGGCTACGCCCATTTTCCAAAAATTTATAATATTCTTATTTTTCGTCTGAAAATTATTGTAAATACCAAATTTGAGTGAATTATCTTCAGTAGTAAATAAAATATCGCAGTTTTCGTATTTCTGGAAATTACCGTTATATGGGAAGTGGGCGTGGTTACTGTCCGATTTCGCCCATTTTCCATACCAACCTACCATGGATTAATGGAAACCTACATACCAAGTTTCGTTGAGATAGCTAAATTTTTGCTCGAGTTATCGTGTACACGGACGGACGGACAGTCGGACAAACGGACGCACAGACAGACATGGCTTAATCGACTTCTCTATTCATTCGGAGCATTTATGTATACATTTGTCTATATGTATCTCGATTCGTTTTGGCTGTTACAAACAACCGTTATGTGAACAAAATTAATATACCCTTGTGCACAAGTGTGCTCGGGTATAAAAACGAAAATCGCTGATGATGTTACAGGTTCTCCAAATTCTGAAACAACCAAAAGAATGAGAATGAAGAAATGTACGGAAAACATCGGTGTTTAAACAACGATCTTTTCATGATGCTAGATTGTGAAGATGAAAGGCAGGAGGATACATTCGACATTTGCAGCGCCGATGCAATTCTCAGAAATTCAAGTTTTTTAAGTTATTCGCCTTGAGCGAGTATTTATTTAGTGGCGCACGTTTGATTTACGAGACTTTAAGAAACAGGACCCAATTCCAATTTTTAAATTCAAGTACTAAATTAAAAAAAAAAAATTCTTTAAAATGACTACATTTTCCATTTTTTATTTTCCTAAATCACCGAATTTACCCACCTAAATTATTTCTTAAAAATACTTGACATCCGCATTCGCATTCGCATTCGCATCCGCGGATGTTAGCTTTTAAACATCCGCATCCGCATTCGCATCCGCGGATGTCTAAAATTCCACATTCGCAGCATCCCTAATTTGTACTTTTCCCCTTCTGCGACACGCCTTAACCTTCACCAATCGGGACCAAAATTTATATGTGATATCAGTGACCGTGGTATTACAGATTGAGGGGGTGAGACTAAACAAAATCGTTCATTTTGAGGACCACCCTAATGCACATACATACGTAAATATGCAGAATAATTTCATATATTTTTTTTTGTGTAGTAAATGGTCGCCTTTTTTGCTCCACGCCTGGTGATGGGAGCGGTAGACATATTTTTCGCAAATGTATGTATATTCTACAATGCAGCATTCATTTATAATTTTATTTTTGGCATATGTCAAACAGTGATCGGACTTGAATAAAAAGCAAGATTGAAGTTGCTAAAAAATGCGCTGAGTTTTGGCAATTTTGTTTCCTTGAACGGGTAAAGCAGTTCCTTCTATGTCAAGATATTTTTCGGACATATTTTGAACAGTTTTTCTTTTACATCACGATGTAGCGAACAAATGTGGCACGTTCCAGAAACCGCTACTTGGGATTTGCCGATTTTGACAATTGTTTTTGTTATTTTTATGGCCTTTATAACAATTATATCCAACAATTTTTATGAGCTCGAGGCCGTTTTCAGTGAAAACTTATTGTGGAAAAGCAACAATAATTTGAAAAAATGGTAGAAGTGATAGCTATTTCGGAAATCACCACTTGATTAGCAAAGAAATCACCACTTGATTAGCGCTTAGCATAGTGAAATAGTGGAAAATAAGCAACAAGAATTAGCAAGACAAACTTAGCACAGTGCGTAGGCAACTGGCTGAGTCAGTGGTGATCGTCGGTTCGAATCCTACTGAAAGAAGTCTGATGAGGAAATGTGGTGATTTCCGAAATAGCTATCACTTCTACAATTTTTTCAAATTATTGTTGCTTTTCCACAATAAGTTTTCACTAAAAACGGCCTCGAGCTCATAAAAATTGTTGATTTTGACAATTTTCAAGTAAAAGTAAACAACGCTTTAGAAACTTTAGATGCACTGAAATTTGCTAATACTTTCACAAAAATCGCCGTTTTTTAACATTTTCGCTATTAATTATTTTTATAAGTCACATATTTTGCAATTTAACACAATAACAATAATATTAACACGCGTTTCCTGTCGAAAAATTGAATATTGAGAAAATTTAATATTTTACAGTTTATTTTATAATCCCATTCTGCCTGTTGTTAGTGTTTAGTGTCGGACAATTTTTGCTCTTAAACTTAAGAAAATTATGTCGAGCAAAAATAAAACTACTCAAAAATGCGAATATGTCGTAGATTTCAGACCTTGTGTGGTAGATGCTCAAAAAAGTGGCAGATCTACCACAATGTGGTACAAGTCTGAATAACTCAGTGTGAGGGCAGGACCAGGATGAATGTATTTGCATAAAAATTTATTAAAGCAAAAATGTTTTGGGTAGGCGTCGGAGCCAATGATAACCATCAGTTACCACCTCTGCATGGTTGTAAGTCATGCAGAGTCCCTACGGCTTGTAGCGCTGTGGCTTTGCCGCTTAAACTCTGTAAGAGTTTTTGGGGGTGTGAGTCAAGCGGAGTGTTGAGCACCGGTTATTTATTTAATTTCAAAAATTGGGTAGGCGCTGTGGCCAATGGTAGCTCTTGTACCACCTTTGTATGCTCAAAGTCATACAGAGCCCCGTGAGACAACTCCGAGAGAGTTGTGATGCATCAAGCAAGTTTGTTGAGCAGTGTGGGTTGATGCGTCAAGCAAGTAGAGCATCGGTTATGTATTTAAGTTTAAAAAATTGGGTAGGCGCCGTGGCCAATGGTAGCTCTTGTACCACCTCTGTATGCTGAAAGTCATACAGAGCCCCAACAGCTTGTAGCGCTTTGGCTTTTGCTGTTTAAAACCACTCCGAAGGAGTGGTGATGCATCAAGCGGGATTGTTGAGCATGATTTGGAGTGCCAGCAATTAACTACTTTAGTAGGTTTTGTTCTGCGGCAGTTGAGAAGTGCATTAAAAAATGCATACCCAATGAAGAACGAACGAATTATTTTTATGCACAAGTGCGTGTGTTTATTCGCTGCACTTGGTTTTGGGCGGGAGTGCAATATACATGTGCGTGTGTGTGTTCGCTGTTCTTTGTTTATGCGGGAAATGCATAAGTCGCTTAAGCATCCTGGCCCCCCTAGACGACTTGTCGTCTAGTGGATGTAAAATACGCCGCGAGTATCCGGCTCGAAGGACCATGAATAACTCAGTGTGAGGGCAGGACGAGGATGAATGTATTTGCATAAAAATTTAATAAAGCAAAAATGTTTTGGGTAGGCGTCGGAGCCAATGATAACCATCAGTTATCACCTCTGCATGGTTGTAAGTCATGCAGAGTCCCTACGGCTTGTAGCGCTGTGGCTTTGCCGCTTAAACTCTGTAAGAGTTTTTGGGGGTGTGCGTCAAGCGGAGTGTTGAGCACCGGTTATTTATTTAATTTCAAAAATTGGGTAGGCGCTGTGGCCAATGGTAGCTCTTGTACCACCTCAGTATGCTGAAAGTCATACAGAGCCCCGTGAGACAACTCCGAGAGAGTTGTGATGCATCAAGCAAGTTTGTTGAGCATTGTGGGTTGATGCGTCAAGCAAGTTGAGCATCGGTTATGTATTTAAGTTTAAACAAGTAAGAAAGTCTAAGTTCGGGCGGAGCCGAACATTAAATACCCGGCGCAAGTATTAAATATATGTTTTCCACCTTTCCGAAAGCTAACGCTACATGATAAGCCGGGGTGTATACATTTTAAGTAAATTAGCGTCCTTAAATTTCGAAATATGGAAATTTCAAGCATATCTGAAATTTACCGTTATATGAAAAGCGGCCTCAATTTTAGTCCGATTTCAACAATTTTCATCGGTTTGCTTTTATTGCAAAAAAAATCGATGCAAAATATTTTTGTAAGTGACTGTATTTGGTACAGCAGTAACTGCCTATGTAACTATGGCTGCGTTTCTTTATACATTCCGGATAATCCCATTTCACAGCCGGAATAAACAGAATACGTTTGAAATATACGTTAACATATCATCAGGAACGTTCTGAAGAATAAGTAAACAAAAAAGTTTATTCCAAACGTTCAGAATGAATAAAGAAATGCAGTATATATAAAATTTTTTGAATCACGGTTTGAGATCAATTTAAGATATTATCAGTATATTTAAGTAATAATAAAAAAGTTAACACATTTAAGTAAACAGTAAATATGCATAAAGTGCATCACCTATTCCATTTCGAGCGGAGCAAAATTATTCCTTCTTTTGGTGGTAATGCGATCTTAAAGAAATTATAGCATTGAGGGTTGCAAAAAATTCTTAATTTGCCCTTGAGAGGGGATATTCGTCATAAAAATTTAATTGGCTAACAAAAAAATTGTTTCCAGCAATCCCGGGATTTAAATCGACTAATCCCGGGATATTCGGGACTTAAAAAAGACCGGGATCCCGGGATCCTGACATCCCGGGATCCCGGGATTGACATCCCTAATGAATACTTTAATATTACTCACTTGGTAGTGCCATCGCCAGGCAGGAATTGTTCCATTTCTTGTGGGGCATGTTTACCACCGCTGTCCTGTAAATTTAGAGATTTAAAAGTTATTTATATATTCACAATATATTCATAAAACAAAGACACTTACCGCTATATTCACCATTTGGCCGTTGTTCTGCTGTTGCACTCAAGCAAATAGCCACGCACACGTACGAATTTACCACTCTAATTCCGATTTTTTAATACTGCAATTAGTATAAATTAGAAAAATCAGTTATTCAATAAATGAAATTAAAATGCTCATCTGCATGTACATATGTAATAGGGATGCTGCGAATGTGGAATTTTAGACATCCGCGGATGCGGATGTCAAGCATTTTAAGAAATAATTTACGTAAGTTAGGTGATTTAATAATAAATTGGCGATTAGGCATGTGTTAGTTTTTGGCCGGGCTTCTCCTACGATTTGTGGTGTGCGTCTTGGTGTTGTTACATAAATGGAGGGACCTACAGTTTTACGCCGCCTTCAAAATACACTCGAAAGTTTGCTATTTCCTGCCGAGAGGCGACCGCTGTTAATAAACAACTTTGTTCTACATTTTTGCGATATTGCTTTGACCAGGCTCCAACCCAGGTCATTTGGGGTGGTAAAACGCACCTCTAACCCTTTGGCTACAGCGGCCAACAACACATACCAGTTAGAGAAAAACAAGCTGTCAAGCGCAAGCTCAACGCTCTTAAGGCCCGTTTACATACAACTTTGGCGTTGCGTTGGCGTTGGCGTCGCTTCGACAGTTGACTATGAATACATGCATTTATATGAAAGTCTCCACATAAACAAAGTTGGGTAACGCCAACGCAAAAGCAAAACCAGAAAGATGGCCAACTCTCAACTTGTTGCGTCGTTCTTGAGCCGTTCCAAATAATCAAAATTATGTAAAATAATTTTTCTTTTTAATCAAATTCGGCCAAGAAATATACATAGTTTTTAAGCGTTCATTCCCTGCAAAAATCGTTGGATCATGTAGTCTATTTGTGGTAAATTGGAGTACTTACAAAAGTGTTCCTCTGTCATGCTGTAGCGGACCAAGTGGTGTCTCTGCGCTAGCTCATTGTTTGTTATCCGATCACTGCTCGTGTTTTAACGAAACGTGATTGAAGTTGAGCATTTGAAAGCACATTTGCATGTCTGGCTGTAGCTGAACGTGTAGAGATGCTCGCTGTTAGTTCTTAGCTCCCAGCATTTTCGGGTTCGAATGCCGTCAGAGGCAACATGTAATTTTTAATTTTTGTCTTGGTTTTTATTAATTTCCAAAAAGTATTTGAGAAGTGAAGAACAAAAGCGTGTACAAACGAAAAAATATAGCAACAATGCCATTGTTAATATGTTGGAGTAGTTTTGTGCTACTCTGATGTAATGCGGGGATGGAGTATATGGTCCTGCCCTAGGACATTGCAATGTTAATTGGACCATATTTTTTATATGAATTGTGGTTAATTTTGGAGTACTCCTTGGTCCTTAGGGAGTACTTTTTACACGCATGCATGGAGTAGTCGCGATTTTTGCAGGGTTGTAGCAAGCACGGGTGCTACTCGCGCTGCTGTCAAAGCGACACCAACGCCAACGCATCGCCAAAGCGGTATGTGGACGGGCATTTATGTAGGTATGGCAATCAGTACGGCAATCATACCAACCACGAGTACATATGTACATATACATACTTAAAAATAGATAATTGCGTCTCGGTCATGGTGTTAATAGAACTTTTTTTCTGTGTGCAGCTCAAACCGACCGCCGCGATAAAGCTATCCTCAAATCGAAAGGACTCGTTCTTCCTGATTATATTGTAGCCTAAACTTACCTATGTATTTTTAATAAAATTAGTTGGGGAAATACTCTATAAAAAAATGGGTTAAAATATGGTCATCAACGCCTTAAGTCAAAGTAGTAAATGGGTTAAATTATTCATAATTTGCACAATAATGAAATCAAATTAACTTAACATAAGATATTACAAAAAACTAGGGCCCCAATGGGTTAATGCATGTTCAATAATGGTTAAGACGTCAACAATTTACTCTTAAAAAGTAGTTCAAGGGAGTCTAATGGAAAGAAAATGATTTCAGAATTTTGAGCACCCGCTTATATGGGGCGGCCCCAGTGTGCGCCGTGCTATTTCATACCAAAATTGATTTCACTTAACCCCGGTGACTTTTCTGCGGAACCCTTAAGGTTAGGAAGCTCTGGTCTAGCGCATTTCATAATCAGCACCACATAAGTCCACATTTAAAGCTTCGTACAAAAATTATGAAAACTCAAAAAACTTTAACAATTTCACCCAAAAATTTTAAATTTTTATTGTATAGCCTTTATATCCGCCAATAGATCTTTTATTGACTGAAGTGACTGCGCTGCATTCAATAATATCAGTAGTAAAAACACTATCAGCTGATTACCAAAAAATGCCTGTTTTTGGTATTTGGTGTTATCTATTACAATTTATTCCATTTCTATTGCAATTTCTTCCGTTTCTATTACAATTTCTTTCGTTTCTATTATAATTTATTCAAAATACACTAAGCCACTGAACCAAAAACACACCTACAGCCTGCCAGAAAAAACGGTAAAAAGAATACGTTAAGAATCCCCAAATCAGCGTTCGGACATTACTCCGATCGGAGTGGATTTATACCGGCTTTTGAAATATTTAAAAATCTACTCCACTCCGCTTGGCTTCAAACCTGTTCCGTATTTTCACTCACGTTCCATGATTCAATAATAGAAAGGTTTTGTAATAAAACAGTCTTCTCGCTTCCGCACATAAAATCGGCTCCTTTATTTGTGCAGAATGTTGCTTACTCTACTGTTTCTAGTGATATTAGTAGTAAAAATTCTGCATACTAAATATTCGTTAGCTTCACCTTCGTTTGCGTAATTTTCTAGAACAATGGTAGAATAGCGACCGTTTAGCTATAAAATAACAAAAATGCCGATTGATAGAACTTTTTACGCTGATTTCAACGTTACCAAATTTATTTGGCCCAGGTAAAAAATAAAGAAGATATAAGAGGTTTATTTGCTTTGTTTATTTGTGTTTTTTTATTATCACTAAATTGTTGAAACCCAAAAGTAGCTCATGACATTATATGTAATATTGAATTAAAGGTAATAACTTGTACTTTCTAAATAATATAAATTTCTTTACCATTAATTATGCAGTTTTTTCAAAAAAGGTGAAAAAATAACATTTGTTAGTTGTTTAGTGGTTTTGGTTTAAAAATACAAAAAGCTATAAATAATGTACATCAGCTGTAAGACAAATTAATTATCTTCACGGTGACGTCATTAATTTTTTAATGGGTTATATAGTTCATAAGATATTAATATTTAAAAAATCTAAAAACTGAACTTTAACCTTCTAGAACGTCTTCATTTTTCAATTGCGCCAAATAATTTTGGCATGGTTGAATTGATCTGCATTTTTCGTTTTTGCATAGCTGAACGGTCGGTATTCTAGATTTCTTCCAGGAAATGACGAATAACTAAAATCAAAAATGCATATTTTTATGTATTGTTTAGTATTTCCATTAAACACCAAATATATTGCAAATTCGCATAGAATTAATAATACACATTTTAATTCTAATTGTATACTTTGCGTACTTTTTGTAGTACCTTTCTACTACGGTTTTCGCAAAAGGCGATCACATTCTTCCCCTTTCTCCTACTTCCAAAATACAAATCTAGATAAAGGAGTGTCAAATTTTTGCAAATTACATAACCTTGTATTATTGAATCATGCTTACGTCCCACTTCTCTTATATTGGTTCATGCTCGCCGGCAATTATGTGTTAAAAATCCAGATCCAGATTTCATTCTCATAGTGATTTTCTGATTATTTGTTCATGCACAAGTTTTTTTTCAATTTTTGTTTTTCTAGGAAAGCGAAAATAAAAATGCAAATCTACAACGAAAATTTTGTTTTCACTCAGATTTTTGGAGTGACTTACTACTGAATGAAACGAAAACTGGTCCAAATTGTTTACGCCAATCCTGACCGACTGAATATTCAAAAAAATTCCAAAAAAGTTTAAAAAATTTTTAAATTGGTAATGTACCCATTTTACTCAACTTCGGTGTAAAAAAATGCATAACTCAAATTATTGTAGAGTGCACCCTATAACATTATACTTAAATATTGCGCAATACTCAGAGCTACCATTGTGATTTTTTCCAATCTTTTTTGAGATGGCATTTTTTCAAAAACTAATTTTTTTTATCAAAAAATTTGTATGTGGAAAATTTTTCAAGAAAAAAAAGTAAAAAATTTTTTTTTTCGTAGGGAATTTTGATGTGTATATGTGTGATTTTATCGATAAAAACGTTTTAATTGCGTATACATGTTCACTTTGAGCAAATTGTGAGCACTGGTTGGGGAAATCTTCGGTAGATTGGGCAAATCGCTAATTGGGCCCAATTGGGCCAAAATTAGAGCCCAATTGGGAAAAACTTTTGGCTCTGATCGGGCAACCTCAAAAAATTTCCAGCAAGGAAACTTTATCATAATAGGCAACAATTTTTGCGCCCTCAACTGGCACGAAAATCTGCTAGCATCATATAAGTGCATTTTCAGAAAAAAAATCATAACACGAAAACGACGAATTTTAGCATGTTGCTACTCGTACTGAAAATAGTTTATACTATTCCCTAATAGACAAAAAAGTTTGAGAGAAAAAAAAGATGTGGCAATTTGAAAAAAATCAATTTGAAAAAAAATAAAATTTTTGGTTTATAAACAATAATTACTTATTAATAAACAATTACTGATGTTTAGTTCACTAGATCGATTCAGTAGATCAATATCTGCAATTTAAAAAAAAAAATCGTTAACTCCTAGCTTTTTTTCGGCAGCTATAAACGATTTCATCAATAGTTGCTATTAAGAGAGGAAAAAAGAAGCGTTCGTACTCAAAAAGAAAAAAATTCATTGTTCGAAAAATTCGCATTTCTGAGCAAAAAGAAAAAATACGTGTCTCCTTAAATTGTTCAAGGAACAATCCCTGTGAGTTTTATCGCAAACTTAAATTCACTTTCCCCCGGCCTGGGTGATTTGAGATGGAATGAGCCTACAGGATTTCCTCATTAATTTGGTACCCATACTTTTTCTTAAGCACATTTGTCTGCATTTTTTCAATAATTTTTGAACAACTGACGTCTGAGTGAAAAACTAAAAACACAATT